CAAGAAATCCGTGCGGAGCTCCACATTGTGACGTGGACGCAGGTTCTTCCTCCTTCGACGCTGGAGGCCCTCCCGATCAGGCGCTGCTTCATAGGGGGGGGGGGGGGGGGGGGGGGGGGCGAAAAACGGAAGGGGGCAAACGTCTACATTTCGCGCCCTTTCTGGGCCCCAGGGGGCCCTCCAGGGCCCCTCTAAGGCGCCAAGGGCGTACTGCACCTTTCTTCACCACCCCCATGTACCGCCCCGCCCATAGCTCGGCGGCGAGCCCAGGGAGAAGTGAGAAGGAGAAGGCCTTTTCAGAAGGCTCGGAAATCCCCTGGCGTTCCGAGAAGACCTTTCTGAGCCTCCCCCGAAGACCAAACAACTGCTCAGAAGGCGCGAGGGCTTCTGAGAAGTCCCGCCGCCTTCTGAGAAGCCCTTCTCCTGCCCACTTCCCCCCCAGGCGCGCCGGTCTCCGGCAGCCGTTCGGGGCGATCCGGGCACCCCTGGAAGGCTCTCGGCGAGGCGCAGCCGCTGGAAGGCACCCCGAGGCTGCAAAGTCGCCCGGAACCTCCGAGAACCTCCCCAAACCCCGAACCACAATATACATATATATATATATATACATATACATACATATATATGTATATATACACACCTATATATATGTATATATATATATATATATATATATATATATAGAAACACAAAACACCGAACACCTCCGCCTCGCTCGCCGCCGAATGGCGCACGTCCCACCCGAGGCCGCCCCACGCCCGCTGGCGGCCCCTCCCTGGCTGGCGGGGCTCCGCGCGGCGGCGAGCACCAGCCGCCGGTCGCAGCGCAGGGGGGGCGGGCAGGCGGCGCAGGGCGCAGCCGGGGCTGCCACGGCGGCCGCGGCGCCTGCGGGCGAGGGTGGGGTGGGGGGGGGGGGGAGGGGGGGAGGGCGGGGAGGGGGGGGGAGGGGGGGGGGAGGGGGGGAGGGGGGGGAGGGGGGGGGAGTGGGGGGGGGAGGTGGGGGGGGGGGGGAAAGGGGGAGGAGGAGGGCGAGGGGAGGCAGAAGATCCTCCGCCTCCTCCGCCTAATTAGGTCCCCCTCCTCGGTCTTCCTCCTCGCTCGGGTCGAACCGCCTCCCCGTGTGCCTTGGAGGCGCAGCTGCTGTTGGGAGGGGGCGGTGGCGTAACCTGCGGGTGGGGATCAGGTGAGCAGCAGAGCTGCCAGGGCGGCGGACAGATTTCAAGTCCGCAGCTGCCGGCAGTGAACGCCGAGCATCTCGTCAACATCGAGTTGTGCCAGGTGTTGGTTTGTACGTCTGGTGCCCGTCTGCTCTAGGTTAGCACCCTCAGCGATCCAACTCCAAACTGAGCAGCTGGCGCAGCTGATAATCCGAAGGCCCCTAACTTCCGCTCTCCTCCCTCCTTAACTCCTCTCCGCATTCCCTCTTCTCCCAGAAGTCCACGTGCACCCTGCGCTAGGCGCACGATTTTCACAGCCAGCCCAGGCAGCAGCAACCAGGTGCAGCAGAGGGTAGCGAGAGCGACCCTTCTTTGTCCGTGGGCAGGCGGACTCGCATCTCGTGAAGCGCAGTTCAACCCCCCCATCCCTCCTCCTCCTCGTCCTCGTCCTCCTCCTCCTCTTCCTCCTCCTCCTCATTCTCCTCCTCGTCCTCCTCCTCTTCCTCCTCCTCCTCCTCCTCCTCTTCCTCCGCCGCCTCCTCCTCCTCCTCCTCCACCCTCTCCTCCTCCTCCTCCCCCTCCACGCCCCTCCCCCCCCCCCCTCCTCCTCCTCACCCTCCCCCCCCCCTCCCTCCTCCCCCCCTTTCCTCCCGTGGGACGCGCGCAACGCCGAGAGGGGGGCCAGGGAAGGGCGAGGCTCGAGGAGGGCGAGGAGAACGCCGAGGCGGACGCCGGGGACGAACGGGATCCAGGCGGATGCCCGAAGGCGACGAGGACGTCCGAGGAAGCAGCGGGGAGCCGCGGCCTCGTCGTCCGAGCGAAGCCCGCCGTGCGCGAAGGCCACCGCCGCGGCGCGCGTCCTGGCCGGGAGGGGGGCGGAGGGAGCGGAGGGGGCGGAGGAGCGGGGTGAGGAGAGGAGAGGGGAGGGGCGGAGGGAGGGAGGAGAGGCGAGGAGGGGGGAGGGAGGGAGGGAGGGGAGGCAGGGAGGGAGCGGAGGGGAGGAGGGAGGCAGGGAGGGAGCGGAGGAGCGGAGGGGCGGAGGAGTGGAGGGAGGGAGGGGAGGGGAGGACGGAGGGAGGGAGGGAGGAGAGGTGAGGAGAGGTGAGGAGGGAGGGAGGGAGGGAGGGAGGCAGGGAGGAAGGAGGAGGAGCGCTCGCGATTCGGGGGGGGGGAGGGTCTCGGGCCCGGGAGATGGCACGGATGATGCTGCTGCTGCTGACGATGGTGATTATGATGATGATGATGCTGATGATGATGATGATGATGATGACGATGATGACGATGATGACGACGATGACGATGATGGTTATGCTGATGGTGTTGATGACGATTACGATGGTAATGCTGATGGTAATGGTGATGATGGCGATACGGATGGTGATGGTGGTGATGCTGCTGCTGATGGTGATGACGGTGGTGATGATGATGTCGATGCCGATGATGGTGGTGATGGTGTTGCTGCCGCTGGTGATGATGATGGTGAGAACGGTAATGATGTTGATGTTGGTGATGCTGGCTATGCCGATGCTGATCCTAGTGATGATGATGAGTATGGTGATGCTGATGATGATTATGCTGATGGTGGCAATGATGATAATTAGGATAGTGGCGCTGGTGATGCTGCTGATGATGATGCGAATGATGGTGATGATGATACTGATGATGGTGCTGATGATGGTGCTGATGGTGGTGGTGATGCTGACGGTGATGATGATGATGATGTCAGTGATGCTGAAGCTGATGCTCATGATGATGCTCCGGATGTTGGCGATGATGATGAAGATGGTGATGGTGGTGATGGTGATGGTGGTGATGATGATGGTTACACGGATGATGATAAAGATGATGATGAAGACGGTGGCGATGATGCGGGTGATGAAGAAGATGGTGATAACGATGGTGATGAGTGTGCCGATGATGTTGATGATGATGACGATGAGGAAGAGGATACTGACGATGATGGTGATTATGATCATAAGGAGGAGAACTAGGAGGAAGAAAGAGGAGGAGGAGGAAGGAGGAGGAGCAGGAGGAGGCAGGGGACTGCTCGATTGGACTGCACGTGTGGTGAAAGGCCCTTCGGGGCCGTGACCACACCACTGCGAGCGCCACCATCCCCGAAGGCTCACGGGCCAACGCAGTCGGGGTCGGCGGGGAGGGAGAGCGAGGACGAGGGGAGGAGGACACATACGGTGGAGAGGGGAGGGGAGGGAAGAGCGAGGAGGGGGGGAGGGGGGGAGGGAGGAGCGAGGAGGGGAGGGGAGGGGAGAGAGCGAGGAGAGGGGAGGGGGGGGGGAGGGCGAGGAGGAGGGGGGGAAGGGGAGAGCGAGGAGGAGGGGAGGGACGAGCGAGGAGGACACGGATAAAGAGCGATCGACGGGGGAAGCCTCGAGGTGGAACGGACGCCGAGCAGGCTGGCGTGCCTGCCGAAGAGGCCCCGCATCCTCCTGCACATCCTCCCGGGGGGGAGAAGGGGGGGAGATGAAGAGAGACGAGGATGAGGGGGGAGGGAGATAGAGGGAGATGGACGGATATAATCAGAAAAAGATAGAGGGGGAGAGAGGAGGGAGATAGAGGATCGAAGAGGAGGAGGGGGGGGGAGGTGAGGACAGAAGGGGAGGAGAGAGGAGGAGGCGGGGAGATGGAGGGCTCCGACGAGGAAGCAGGAGGGAGGGATGGAGCATGGGGCGAGAGGAGGAGCGACGGGGCGACGGTGCGAGCGGAGGGAGGGAACGATAAGGGGGGCGAGGGGAGCTAAGGACTGAGGGATGGAGGAGGACGGGGGGGAGAGGAGGAGGAGAAGGGAGGGGGCAGGAGGGGGGAGGGAGAGGAGGAGAAGGGAGGGGGGAAGGGGGGAGGAGGGGGGAGGGGGGGGAGGAGGATGAGAAGGGAGGGGGGAGGAGGGGGGCGAGAGGAGGAGAAGGGGGGGGAAGGGGAGGGGAGGGGGGGAGAGAGGGAGGGGGAGCAGGAGAAAGGAGGGGGAAGGGCGGGGGGAGAGAGGAGGAGAAGGGGGGGGGAGGGGACTCGCTTTGGGACTCGCAGTTGCGACGCCGGCCCTCGGGCCGCGGTAACACCCCGGCGCGGTCAAGCAACCGCCCCGCTGGGCCAACGGCTGCCGCGCCAGGGGTGCCGGACGTCACCGCGGCGCGGTCCGTCCTCCCTCCCGAGGATGAGGCGAGGAGAAGTAGGGGGGAGGGGGGGGGGGCGAAGAGGAGGGGCGGGAGGTGGGGCAGGGCGGGGCGGGGGGGGAGGAGCACGGCGGGGCAGGGACGTTGGGGGCGAGGGGCGAAGGGGGGAGCGAGAGGGCGGGGGGGGCGGGGGAAGAGTGTGAGGAGGCGGGGGGAGAGGGGAAGTGCTACCGCCGCTTCCGTCGCGGAGGCGAGGCCGCCCGGCCCCCACTGCGGCGGCCATCCCCGCCCGGCAGCGCAGCGGGAAGTGAAATGGAGGAGGGAAGGGGAGGGGGGGGAAGTGCGGCACTCGGGCGGCCGGCGCGTTCGAGCCCTGAACCTAGATAGCGTCAGGGCTACCGGAGGGGATACCTCGTCGGCAGGGGGGAAAAGGAGGGGAAAGAAGGGGAGGAGGAGGGGGAGGGGGGCAAGGGGGGGAAGGAGGGCCCCCACCCCCACCGACCCCCCAGGCCCCCGGCCGACCTGGAGGCCGTGCTGCGGGTCCGGGCGGGGCGGCGGCGGGAGGGGGGGCGGGAAGGGGAGCGAGGGGGAGCGGTAGGAAGGAGGGGAGGAGGGAGGTAGCAGGAGGAGAGGGAGCAGGAGGAGCCCGGAGGAAGAGCCAGGAGGAGGAGGAGGAGGAGGAGGAGGAGGAGGAGGAGGAGGAGGAGGAGGTCCTCACGGCGGCGAGCACCACGCCGCGGTCCGCGCGCAGCGCGGGGGCCGCGAAGGGTAGCGCCAGGCCGTCGGAGGCCACGGCGGCCAGCACGACCTCCTGCGGGGGCTCAACCCGCAGATAGGCTTCGGCAGCTCGGCTCGCACCGAGGTGTGCATCGGCTCGGGACGACTGCGACCTCGGCGGCGACGGCGACGGCGACGGCGAACTCGAAGACGACGGCGAACTCGGCCTCGACTGCGGCGGCGACGACTTCGGCTTCGACTTCCGCGTCGACCTCGCCAGGCCGCTGGACGCCGCGGCGGCCGGCACGACCTCCTGCGGGGGCTCTCAACCCGCAGCTCGGCTTCGGCAGCCCGGCTCGCACGAGGCGTGCCTCCGGCGCCTCGACCGCTTCGAGCGCCGGGCGCTGGAGCCTCGTCTCGGGCCTCGGGGGCCCTCACGGATCGATCCGGCTCGAAACACGACGCCGAAGGATGGGGTCTGGGGCTCCAGGCGTGATCTTTCAAAATTTGCGATTCTCTCGCGAGGAGGTGGGATCTCCAGGCGGGCCTCCCTGGCCTCCCCCGCGCCCCCCAGGGCTTCGGCATGGCTCTGTTCCTCCGTGCGGTCGTCGCAATTATCGCCGCGGCCTCCCTGGTGGCCAGCTGCCCGACCTCCCTGGCCTCCCCCCCTGGCCTCTCTGGGCTGCCCCGTCCCCCCCCCCCCCTCCCGCGCGTGGGCGCGCGAGGGCGCGTGGGGCATGGCCACTGCCCCCCCCCCCGAAGCCAGGCCCGTCCTGAGGCCAGCAGCAGCCTGCGCCACGCCCTCCCGGCGTGGCCCCGGCGGGCGCGGGCACGGCCCCTGGGCTTCCAGGAGAGGGGCCTGGCCGGGAGGGGGCAGCGGACACGCACAGGGCGCGCCGCCGGATCGGGGGGGGGGGGGCTAGCAGAGCGAGGGCTATAGGTCGGGCATGTCCCCCTACAGGCGGCTCTTGGACGAACAAAATAACACATACCCCCAAATTCATCCCACAATGATCCACAGATGCTCAGAAATCGTCCCCATACAATTCTTTTGTATCATTTTTGAACATTCCTCCTGTAGAGGGACAGGCCCGACTTTCAAACTGGGGGGGCGGGGGGAGAACGTCGGCCCGGAATCGGCGATACGTCGCCGCTGGGTCGGTGATACGCCCCCGATGGCGGATCCGCGTGCTCCCTGGCGGGGTGGGGCCATCGCCGGTCAACGGGCGATTGGGGGTCGATGCGCCCCCCCGGAGCCCATCCCCCCTCTGTCTTTGCCCCGTGGCTTCCAAATGTCACTCGGCTCTCCTGCGGCCGTCGGGGCCGATCCGGGCACTCTCCTCCTCCTCCTCCTCCTCCTCCTCCCTCCTCCTCCTCCTCCTCCTCCTCCCCTCCTCCTCCTCCTCCTCCGCCTCCTCCGCCTCCTCCTCCTCCTCCTCCTCCTCCTCCTCCTCCTCCTCCTCCTCCTCCTCCTCCTCCTCCCCGGAGCGCCCTCGACGAGGCGCAGTCGCTACAGAGAGCATCCCGAGGCTGGAAAGCCGCCGCGAACCGACGAGCACATCTGCAGCCCCCGAGCCTCTCGGTCCTTACCCCTGAGCCCCTCCCCACCTAACTCGGGGGCGGCAAAGAGGGGGGTGTCCAAGAGGGGGGGGGGTGCAAATCATGACCGGCGGCACGTGCGCGGCCCAGCGGGGGCGCCAGGGGCGTAATGAAATAAGAGGAGGCGCCATGAAATCTGGGGAAATATCATGGCCCCCGCCATGGTATCCACCCCCCCTAGCCATCACCCCCCTCTTTTCCGCCCCCGACTAACGCTGTCCCTATCCCCCCCCCCCCGCCGTGGCCCCTCATATGAGCGCATCGAGGCGGCGGTGTGTCCCCGTGCTCGGCCTCTGCAGAGAGGCCCTCGCTGCGCTCCAGAGCAGGCCAGCAAGGAGCACTGCGGGTGGCAAGCGCTGGTCTCGGGTCGGGCGAAAGGGGGGATAGCAAAGGGGGGGTTTGAGAATCAGCTCACGTAGCTGATTTTCCCGGCGCCTCCCGGCGCCGGGAGCGGCCATGTATCGAGGAATTGGCCCTTCGGTGAGGCCGCAACCAGCTGCATGCAGCAAATTTCGTACCCCCCCCTTTCCCAATCCCCCCCTTTCGCCCGACCCGATGGTCCCAGGGGACGGGGTCGAGGCCGCCGGGCACCGCGCAGCGGCAAGCCAGGATGTCGGATTTGTTCGGGGTGCGCGGCGATCCGGCGCCACGGCAGGGCGACGGGGCACGGAGCCTCGGAGGCCCGCGCTCGCACGGCCAGGGGCAGACGACGACGCTGGAGCCCCCGCCATGGGCCCAAAGGCGCCGACGGCGGAGGAGGGAGGGGACGGGGAGCAGGAGGATAAGAGGAGAGGGGGGAGCAGGGGGAGGAAGCCGAAGATCAAGAGTGCAGCGTGCAGGAGGCGCGCCCTTTGAGAGGAGAAGCAGGAGGACAGGGGTCGAAGAGAGGAGTGCGAGGCAGGAATCCCGGGGCGAGGCGCGAAGGCAGGGGCGGCGGAGGACTCGGGCCCCAGAGCGCCTCCCGCCCTGCCGCCTGCTTCGCCGCACCCATGGGGGGCTGCGGGCTGCGAGGCCGTCGCCGCTCTCGTTGGCACCCGGGGGGCCCGCGCAGCGCGGTGCTGCAGGAGTCCGAAGGGGACCGCGCCGCCCCCGGGGGCTGCGAACTGCGAGCCCGCCGCCGGGCGGCCCCACCCAGATCGGACTGACCCCCCCCGCCCTGGGGGCTGCGAACTGCGGACGTGTCGCCACGCTCGTGCGATCTGTCGCCACGTTCGTGCGATCCTGGGGGAGGGGTCCAGCGTAGTCTCACGCAGATCACAATGGGACCTCGCCGTCCCTTGGGTCCTCGAACTGCACAACGTTCGCAGCTTCCGTGAGCTCGTCGGAGGGCCAGCGCAACGACGCCTTACAGGGATCAGAATTGAAACTCGCCGTCGCTGGGCGCTGCGAGATGCGAAATTGTCGCCACTTTCGTAGCTCCTTGGAGGGCCAGCGAAGTGACGTTTTACGAGGATCAGAAGTGACGTCTCACCCAGATTGGAATGAGACCTCGCCGCCCCCTGGAGGCTGCGAGCTGCGAAACAGCCGCCACTTCCGCGGTCCCCTGGACGGTCTTCGCATTCCATGGTCGCTACCAACTGCGCAGGTGTCGCCACTTTCATGGGTCCCTGTGAGGTCCGGCGAAGTCGTGCCTTACTCAGATCCAAATAAGACCTCGCCCACCCTGGGTGCTGCCAACTGCGCATTTCGTGGCCACCTTTCATGAGCCCCTAGCCCTAGGAGGATCCAGCGGGATTGCGTCCTATGACAATCCAATATGATCTCGACCGCCACCCGTGCGCCGCCAAATTCGCAATGGTCACCTCCTTCGTCGACCTCTGGGAGGTCCAGCGCACTGGTGTCCTTCGCAGAACCAAATGAAACCACGCCCGCCCCAGACACTTCCAACTGCGCAACAGTTGGCACACTCGTGAGCCTCGCATGTGCCATCTGTTCTTCCTCTGTTCACGCCCTGAACCCTTCGGCTACTCGTCGTGGTCCTCCTGCTGTCCGCCATCCGCGTTCTGACCGCCTTCGTCGCCCGGTGCAGGCCCCATCTGGCGTGCCGTGGATGGGCTCCCAGGTAGCGAGAAGGTGGTGCAGGAGTGCGACTACTGGGAGGCATGCGACGAGGAGGTCGTCAGGGACGAGGACAGTGGCGACGAATACGACGACGACGAAAACGACGACGCCGACGCCAACGACGACGATGGTGGCGGCGGCGGCGACGACGACGAAAACGACGAAATCTACGAAAACGACAACGGCGGCGGCGACGGCGACGACGACGCCGACGAGCCGGGCCCGCGCAAGGATCCCGGTCGTGTCGCAGGGGCTCCGCCACCGACTGCAGCGCCATCCCCGACTGCCGGACCGCCAGCAGCGCGACCTCTTCTGGGCGACGCGCAGGAGCTCAACTCGTCGGCGCCGTCGCCGCCGCCGCCGTCAGCGCCAGCGTCGTCGACGTCGGCGGCGGCTGCGGCGGCGTTGTCGCCGTTGTTGGCGCGGTCCTCCTCCTCGCCCACCACTTCCGATACTCTGCTCCTGATCGTCCTCCCGCTCCTCCTCCTCCTCCTCCTCCTCGTCCTCCTTCTCCTCCTCCTCCTCCTCCTCCTCCTCCTCCTCCATCTTCTCCTCCTGCTCCTCCTCCTCCTCCTGCTCCTGCTCCTGCTCCTCCTCCTCCTCCTCCTCCTCCTCCTCCTCCTCCTCATTGTCAGAATCATGGACGTCATTCTCCTCCTCGATCTCCGTCGCCCACCCCTGCTGCCACTCCTCATCGTCCTCTCTCCCCTAACCCATGCGTCCTGCGCCCCTTCTCACCTCCCTCGTCTGCCGCCTCCTCCTCCCCCCCCCAATCCCACGCGCCCCCTCCGCGTCGTCGTCGTCTTCGTCGCGTCGGCGTCGTCGTCATCGTCGTCGTCGTCGCCGCCGCCGTCGTCGTTCTCGTAAAACTTCGTCGTTTTCGTCGTCGTCGCCGTCGTTGACGCCGAGGGCGGCGGCGGCGTCACCGTCTTCGTCGCCGCTGTCCACGTCCCCGACGGCCGTCGTGGCGGCGCCGCCATGGCGGCGCCGCCGTCGTGGCCCCTCGCCGCGGTTGCCGCCGCCGTGGCCCCTCGCCGTCCGTGGCAGGCGCCGACCGTGGTGCTGCCTCGTCGTCGGCGCGTACGACGGCGGCGGCCAAGGGCGGCGGCGGCGGCGGGGGCCCTCCTCTTGCTCCTCCTCCTCATCCTCCTCCTCCACCTCCTCCTCCTCCTTCTCCTCCTCCTCCTCCCCTCCTCCTCCTCCTCCTCCTCCTCCCTCCTCCTCCTATTCCTCCTCCTCCTCCTCCTCCCCTCCTCCTCCTCCTCCTCCACCTGTTCCCCTCCTCCCCTCCCCTCTCCTCCTCCTCCTCCTCCTCCTATTCCTCCTCCTCCTCCTCCTCCTCCTCCTCCTCCTCCTCGCCTCGCGGTCCGCCCGCAGCCGGTCCGAGGCGTGGCGCAGGGCGTCGCCACAGCAGGCCACGGCCGCCAGCACGGCCTGGGAGGCGGGCCGCCGCCGCCGTCGCCGTCGTGGCCGTGGTCGACGACGACGACGAGGACGACGACGACGACGACGACGACGACGACGACGACGGCGGCGGCGGCGGCGGCGGCGACGACGACGACGACGACCACGACGACGTCGGAAGACGACGGACGACGTCGACGACGACGAAGACCACGACGACAGCGTGGACCCTTCGCGCTGGTCGGCGGGACGCCTCCCGTCATGGCCTGAACAGCTTGGGAACGCTGCGGGACGAGCTGGGTGCCGCTGCGGCGCGACGTCCCGGGCAACCGGGCGCAAGACACGCCCTGCTCGGACGTCCAACAAACGCAAATGAGGAGGGTCGGCCCCTGCCGCGGAACGCACTTCACATGCTCTGCTCGAAGACAGGGAACGACATGTCCCCCAAGAGGTCCACAAGTCTCCCAGGAGTCGTCAAAACTGCCTCCAAGAGGCCCCCGAGAGCCCCCCCACGAGATTCCAAGGAACACCCACCAGGCTTACAACCCACAACCCACGCACGGCGGCGAAACTTGCAGTAAGCAGCTGGATACTTTTTTGATGCTTTCAAAATGTGGGCCCGAAGTATCGATCCCAGCCGTCGCACGCATCCTTCGTCCCCACCAACCCTACCGGTCCAACCCAGGTGCCCAGAACCGGCCCTCTGAAGCCAGAAGTATAAACGCGCAGACAAGCACAAAGCAACAACATAACGCATACAACACATCGCAAACACGTGATGACGTGGGGGGCCCATGCCTGTTATTTTGAGTGAGAACTACATAAGTGAATCCATGCGTTGAGCGCACATTGCGACCTGCACTGGGCGACACCAGAAAAACATTACTGTTGAACACAAGGCGACGACAGCAGGGCGGACGAGGAATCAGAACGCTTGTGTATGGGAGGCAGGAAAGCACCGGCAATACTGATCAAAGACAACACAGGGAGGAGGCAGAGGACGGCGTGGAGATCAATGATAATTGACATGCGGTCACTGACGAAAGTACCGAATTTGCCAAGTCCTCCACGCAGCAGCGATCCTGGGTGGAGGCTAATGGCCACCACGGTGGCCTCAACATGCGCTTCCCAATGCAGCCCCAAGCGCGGCGACTCCGTCGCCCAGTCGCGAAAAGAGATGGCCCGCCAACTTCTGTGCCCCTTCCCTGAAATTTCCCACTGCGACCGCTTAAAGTCAACGGGCGCGCCGCGGGGTCCGCTGGTGGCCCTGGTGACAAAAAATGTGCCTGCCCTGGGTCGCGGATCACAAGCAAGCTATTCGACGCCGAAGCACTCGAAAGCGTTACGCGCAGGTGCATACGGAACCAGTCCGTGTCGCCGGCGTCCGTGCAACCGGCATCGACGATGACCTACAGTCAACCCGTATGAGAAGGACGCGCGGTAAGGAGTATAAGGATGCAAAGGCCTTGGAGGGCCAAGTTGACGTCTTCCGAACGAGGCTGACCAGTGGAAGTCGCGAAGGATGGCCCGAATGGGGCAAGGATGCAAGGGTACCCTTGGGAAGGCTGCCCATCCATACTTTGCGGATTGACTGTAGTGCAGAGCAGGCGAGGTGCACAAGAGTTGCGACGGTTGCGTTGCGCTGTTGCCATTGCCCGGGGAGGCGAATTTCCCTTCAGGTCTGCGTGAGGAGTCACCCCGCCGGCCAGCCCTGGAGCTCCCGAGTTGGGCGACGGTTGCGCAGTTGGCAGAACCCACGGGACCTTGGCCTCATTCTGGTCTGGGTAGGACCTCGCAGTTGCAGGATTGGCAGCGCCCGGGGAGGCGAGGAACGAGGCAGGTGGGAGGCAAGAGGGGGGAAGGGAAGGGGAGGGGAGAAGGCGGCGGGAAAACAGAGAAACACGTTCTTTGTCTAAAAGGAGCACCTCGCACAGGAGACGGAATGAAAAACAAACGAAAGGCGCACGCAGTGCACTAACAAATCGCGACGCCAAATGGTCGGGGCAAATCGGCTGCAAGTAAGAGTTCCCCCAGGCCCTGGGTGAGAAGGGCAGCATCGGTACCAGGCTGGGGGTTGGCTCTCTGATCCGACCTCGGGCTGAACGCGCCTCTGCGTACCCCCGAGCCAAAGTCATTCTCGCCTGTCCGTCGCCGAAGTAAAAAAGGTAATGATAGGGGGACTGGCACAAAGGGGGGCACACATCGACCTGGCATCGGCGAGGCACCGCTCGGCGGTCGGGCCCTCGACCGTGAACCCGAACGTTCCCGGGCAGGTTTGGGGCCTCCGGGCCCCACCCGGCCAGGGATCGATGCGCCCCCCCCTATGCCCATCCCCCCCCCCCTATCGTTCCCCCCGAGCCAAAGTCCCTCTCGCGCGTGCGTCGCCAGAGAGCAAAGCGGGAGTTGAGCAGGGACCGACCGTCCCGGCATTCCTAGAAGCCTACCGCGACATGTTCTCAAAGCCCAGACACGTTCTAGTAAAAGCCAACGTCCTCGGATCATACATCCGATGTGTTGAACAAGACCGTCTCAGCCAGAAATACTATGATAACCTTTCGCGCATACCAGAAAAAAAGGTTCTTAGAACATTCCTTCGCGGGCCTATACGAATCCAGGACGCTTAGCCACTGCTCTTGGACGCCCGAATGGGTACGGAAAACTTTGTACAAGTCACAACAACAATTTTTGTCCAAAACCAACATCGGCGGCTGTTGGGCAGGCGGCTTGTTGTCTTCAGAGAACAACATCCGCGGCGGCGCGCACAACGACTCCTGTTCAAGAGGAACAAGAACTGCTGTTGGGTATCGTACCCGTTCTTCCCGTACCATGTACTGAGACCGTAAGCCCGATGAGTGAAACGAGACAGTCTCAGCCAGAAGATTTCGTGCAGATCACAAGAGGCTCTTAGAACACTCCGGGAGTGTTCTAAGAGCCTCTTGTGCGCGCCGAAGGCACGCCTAGTTCGGCGGCCTGCGCGCGCCGAAGGCGAGCGCATTTTCGTTGGGCGCGGCGAACCGCACTCCAACTGGAATCTCCGCCACCCGCGGTCACACCCAGGAACCCGCCACATCAAACCTCTTCCGTTTTTCTTCTTGAATCTTCGAACACCCAAAGAATCAGACCCAAATCGGCTCTGCGGCCTTGGAGACAAGGGCTCCCAACTTCGCGCTTCGCGCTGCGCGAAGCGCGAAGCGCGAATAACTTCGCGCCCTCGCGCCGCCCCCCAAGGGGGAGAAGAGGAGGACGAGGAGGAGGGGGGAGGAGAAACGAGGACCGCGAAGCGCGAAGCGCGAATAACTTCGCGCCCTCGGGGGAGCCCTTACTTGGAGACGTGTCACTCCCTGCTGAGCCTGCAGGCAGGCCGGGGCGCGGCACTGCCCGAGGGAGGCGGGGCCTCCGCGTCGTCCCGCAGCGCCGGCGGCGCGAAGGCGAGGGCGGCGCCGTCGCTCCGCAGGGCCTCGCGGGGAGGCGGGCGGCGAGCGGGCGGCGAGGGGGGGATCGACGGCGGAAGGCCCGCTGCGACGAAAGGCTCCGTCCAGAGGGCTCCAAACGGGGGTGTTTGGGGGCGGGGGCTGTCCAGGAGGGGTCCCCCAGAGGGAGAGGGAGAGGGAGAGGGAGAGGGAGAGGGAGGAGGAGGAGGAGGAGGAGGAGGAGGAGGAGGAGGAGGAGGAGGAGGTTGAGGAGGAGGAGGAGGAGGAGGAGGAGGACGAGGATGATGACGAGGAGGAGGAGGAGGAGGAGGAGGAGGAGGAGGGGCTTCGCACCCCCTGTTTTGACGAGGTTCCGAGGCCCCTGGGGGGATCTCTGGAAAGCCCCCTCCCCAAAACACCCCTTCGGAACCCTCCGGTCAGTCTAGCCGGGGGGGAGGGGGATTGGCGAGTCCGGGGCCCAAAACCTTTTGGGAGCGGACCTGAATTGAGGGGGCCGACACAGCAGGTGTAGGGCCCTCTTCCCCAGCGGGCGTATAGAGCAGAACATCCCAGAGTTGTTATCCTTGGATCAAAGACGGGGATCCAAGTTAGCTTAGGTGACATCTACATTGCGTTAATCAGGGTTGGGGACTCGGTTGCGCGCGATGAGGGGAGGGGGCAGTCAAAGGGGGTGAAGGAAGGGGGACCCTTTTCAAAATGGCGTTTTCGCCTCGGCGCCGCGCGCATTCGATGTTCGAATGCAACATTCAGCAGGATCGAGGACTGCTCGCTTGCAACATGTGGCTCGCGCCCGAGGATGCGGAAAGTCTACGGGCCCGAAGCCCCGACGCACGCAGCGCTGCAGAGATCCATGGCAGCTTCTGTTCTGCAAGAGCGGGGCTGTCGCTCGAGACTCCCTCGAAGTGCATGGCCTCAGAGGTGGAGCTTGTGCAGCAATCGCACGGCAGGGGGAGAGAGAGATCAGCATGGGGGGGCGAATCCTGCGGGAAACGGGTCCTGGATCCTGGGGTCTCCCCCTGGGACTGTTTTCCATCCTGCGTCGTTTTCTCGGAGTCCTGGGGCCCCATCGAAGCTCCGAGAGCCCAGAAAGGACAAAGAACCTCAGGACCCGCTTCCTTCAGGACCCCTGTCCTCCATGGCGACGAGAGGGAGAGACAGAGAGAGAGAGGGAGAGAGAGAGAGAGACACACACATATACATATATATATAGGGAGAGAGAAAAGAAAAGAGAGAGAGAGAGAGAGAAAAAAAAAAACAACAGAAAAGAGAAAGAGAGAGAGAGAGGGAGAGAGAAAGAGAGAGAGAAAGGGGGAGAGAGAGAGAGAGGGAGAGAGTCGGCGGCGCTTGCGACGGGGTGGCGCGAGGGTGGCGGCTTTCGAGAAGGACGGCGGGGCTTCCTAGAATCCAGACGCCCTCTTGGCGCCACCCCCTTTGTTCAAGGGGACTCAAAGGCTGGGTGGGGGGAAGGGTGGGGTTACCCGAACAAATAATGTAAGCGGCCAGTGTAGGAAAGACACGTGACCATCCAGTTGGCCATGTTCCCTGACCCCATCTTGCAAGAACCTCCCCTCGACGAACCCTCGATTTGTGGGCGCCGTCGAGCTTGAGCAAGGACCGACCGTCGCGGCATTCCTAGAAGCCTACCACGACATGTTCTTAGAACACAAACATGTCCGAACGCCAATCACAATGTCCGTATACCAGAAAATACCCGATGCGTGAAGCAAGACAGTCTCAGCCAGAAGTGCTCTCCAATAACATGCCATGACCGGAATTTGTTTTGGTGGGCCTATGGGCAAGCCAGGACGCGCCGCCACTGCTCGACAAGAGATCGGGGACGCCTGGAATCGGGCGTTGGCAGAACTGGGTTAAGTGGGACCTGGTCTAGTGATGTGCATCGGGGGCGCCCCCCCGCCCCACTTCCACGAAACGGAACTGCCGTCACCCGACAAAAAAATCCAGCTGTGGCAAGCCTGGTTTTACTGAATCTGGCCAATTCACAGGCTCCGGGGCCCTACCACTAATCGGGTCCCCTTACCCGCAGAGGAGGAGGAGGAGGAGGAGGAGGAGGAGGAGGAGGGGGAGGAGGAGGAGGAGGAGGAGGAGGAGGAGGGGGAGGAGGGGAGGAGGAGGAGAGGAGGAGGAGGAGGAGGAGGAGGAGGAGGAGGAGGAGGAGGAGGAGGAGGAGGAGGGTCCTGGCTATACCCGATGGAAGCATGTCGCCACGGCCGGCCCCCACGGCGTGGAGAGGCCTCGCCGCGCGGCAGCGTGGGCCCCGCTGGACCGCGGGGGACCGGGCCCTTCGGCCGCGAGGGCGGCGCCCAAATCGCCGGGGGGGGGCGCAGGTGCCCCCTGGAAGCATCTCCCTCCTCCTCCGTCTCCTCCTCCTCCTCCTCCTCCTCCTCCTCCTCCTCCTCCTCCTCCCCCCCCCCGTCCTCCTCATCCTCCCCCTCCTCCTCCTGTTCCCGTTGTCTAGAGGGGGCGGGGCGCACCCCCTCCCCAGATCTCCGACGTTCCACCACCGCCGTTCTTTTTGTTGCAACTCTCTGCTCCAGTACCCTCCTGCGACCGTCCCGGCATTCCTATAAGCCTACCACGACATGCTCTTAGAACCCCCCATAAATTCTGGGAGCAAGAACGCGGCTCCTAGAACAGAGGCCCGATGTGTTACAACAGTACCGCCCCAACCATACATGTGTTTTGAAACATGTCGTGCAGACCCCGGAAGGTTCTTAGAACACTCTTTGGTGGGCCCATAAGCGAGCTAGGACGCTCCGCCACTGCTTGAAAGAAGGCACCCCCAGCTTGTCCCTCGACTTTGGAGCCCCCTGGGCCTCGTCAGGGGTGCCCTGGAGGCCGCGGGGGCCTCCTCGGAGATCCTGGGGCACCCTGTGTAAGTAGGTTGACGACCGAAGAGCCGAACCTACTAGATTTCCCGTAGGTAGAGGAAGGTTAAGGAGAAGGTCGCGAGCCCTTTTTTCCCATGCGCCGCGGGCGGGCGGCGCTGTACCTAATACCAGTACCTGACCCGAGACGTCGGCAATAGATAAAGACATAATGGTGATATAAACGGACTTCACACAAATTCACACGCACACACACACACATCCACACATCCACACACACACACACAAACACACACACACACACACCCTGGGCCAGGGGCACTCCAGGCAACACCCGAGGGCATTGCATGGCCGACTCCGGGAACCCTGCATCCAAACATGTAGACGCCTTCCGCTTGCTGCCGCCGCAGTCCGCGCGGCCTTCTGCCGGCTCCCGCCGCCTGACCCGCGGCTGGCTCGCTTCCGCCGGCCTGCCGCCAGCTTCCGCCGCGGGCGGGAACGGGGGCAGAAGGCGAGGCTGCTGGAGCGCGCCGCATGCCTTGGGCGGCAAGCCCTCGCGCAAGCGCTTGATCCAGCCGATGGCAACGTCGGTCCTCCCGCAGCAGCAGGGCCTGCTCCGGAGCTGCCACCGGCCTCCACCGGACCCAGGCAGTCACATCGCCAGCTCCCTCCCCCTCATCCACCACCTCCTCCTCCTCCTCCTCCTCCTCCACCTCCTCCTCGTCCTCGTCGTCTTCTCCTCCTCCTCCTCCTCCTCCTCCTCCTCCTCTTCTCCTCCTCCTCCTCCTCCTCCTCCTCCTCCTCCTCTACCCCACCCTCCCCAGCTGCCCTCCCTTCTCCCCACCTGTCCCCCCCTCGGTGCACGCTGCACGCGTCAATCCAAAGCCCACTCGCGGAGCCGAATGAAACTCAAAGAAGCGGGGGTGGGCTCAGGAAGCGCCCACGGGGAAGGCAAGGATGGAGGAAGGGCCGAGACGGAGGGAGGAACCGGGGGGGGGGGCAGGGAGGCGCCCGCATCCGAACCCCCCCGCGCGCTCGCCTGGCACCAGCGGGGCTGCGCGGCCAGAGCTGCCGCGGCAGGAGGCGCAGGCGTGAGCAGGCACGAGGCAGACGGCAGCGGCGACGAGGACGACCGTGGGCCTCGAAGACCAGCTGGCGGTCGCCCCTGAGGTCCTGGGCGTCGGGGGGGGGGGCAGCGAGGTTTGGAGAGCGACACTGGCCAGCGCAAGGCAGGGGCGGACACGGGAAGAGACGACGAGCCGAAGAGAGCAGGCAGAGAGCAAGCAACCGCGGAGAGAGGATGAAACCCGCTGACCCTCAAGAGAGGCATGCCGACATCGAAAAGCAGGGCCCACCAAGGCGAAGATGCACAGTTTGTGTTCGCTCTCCGCTGGGGGGGCGACGAGGGGGGATGGGGGGAAGGGAACCAGAGAGGAGGCGCTTCCAGGACATCTCGTCAGAATCAATCGGTTCGGTCGGGAACTCCTGGATGGCGTGTCACCACGGCGGCCCCGGCGACGCGTTACGCCCGGCAAGCGGACAGCGCGTCGCTCCGCTCAGTGGGGACCGGGAGGCGCGGCAAGGCTCGGGGCGTGGACGCCAGCAGATATAGGGGAGATGGGCAGCGTGTCGCGCCGAAGCGCGGTGGGCCAGACAACCGCCGGAGCGGCACTCGGAGAACGGCGCCCGTGCACCGCACCACTGTGTGGACTCTCTTCGGGTGCCGCTCGAACGCGGTGCGGTGCACAGCTCTTCGCGGTCCGAACAGGTGTGCGCGGTGCCATGCGACGAGCCGAGGATCGACAGTGCTTCGAGGGGCGCCAGCACGGCACTGGGGAAATCACAAGGCACCGTGAGCGCTACCGGCTGGACCTCTCCCAGGATGTGCTCTGACCAGAATTTCGAGGCCAATCCAGCGGTGGCGACGAGGGCCTTCCAGAAGGCCAAAAGAAGCGAAAACGAGGGAAGGGTAGCGGTGTGGGTACCTTCTCCTCCCCTGCGGTAAATGATAAAGGTATCCCTAACCCTTTGGGAGGGGACCCAAGTTAGGATGGCCGAAAACATTAAGGAATGGGGGTCGATTTCTGCAGATGTGTCGAACCAAAAAGCCCAGAATAATCACCCCTAATGCACAGGCGGAAACCTCAGTGAGGCCACGTCTTCACTGCGTTATGAGGGTTAGGGGTTCTATTATCCTCGATTACCCTGAGGCAATAAGCAAAAGATCCTGACCAGATTTGGTTTTCAAAGATGCGGACCCTGGCGCGTTCTAAGAGGCTCCATTTTACGGTCCAACGAAACGTGCTGCTTGCCCGCTACCTTGTATTAGTGACACACCGCAGTCACAAACAGAGAAGGGTCAAGAGACGGGGATAAGGCAATCGCCACCCCACACTCAAATGGGCTCAAATGGGATAAGGAGGCACTTAAAAATATTAATGATGTTCCAAGATGTGCCCCTCACCTTCCCATACTCCGACTCCCCCTCCCTGCGTCCCTCCCTCCGTGTTCGCCGCCTCCTTCATCCTATTCGTCCTCCTCTTCTCCTCCTCCTCCTCCCCACCTCCTCCTCCCACCTCCTCCACCTCCTCCTCCCACCTCCTCCTCCTCCCTCCCTCCTCCTCCCTCCCTCCTCCTCCTCCTCCTCCTCCTCCTCCTCCTCCTCCTCCTCCTCCTCCTCCTCCTCCTCCCCCTCCTCCTCCCCCCCGTGCGGCAAAGACGTCGACGACGACGGCGACCGTGCGCGCAGCGGGAGCAGCAAGAGCAGGAGCAGCAGGCCGACGGCGACGACGACGGAGCCCGACCCGCGGATCTCTGCTGGGGCCGCGCCTGGGCCAGAGGACTCCCTTAGAGGAAAGCGAGGCATGCACATACACCGATTCTGGCCAGGCCCATCCTGAGCCCAGGATCGGTGCATACGCCCTCTCACCTTGGCCAGGAAGGTATATGCACCGATCCTGGATCAAGGATGGGCGTTGTCAGGATCGGTGCATGTGCATAGTTCTCTTCCCCCGATCCCTCCGATCCTGGCCTTTCAGCGTTTTCACCGCGGGGGGGGGTCGCTTCACTTCGGGCCCCGGGGCCCTCGAGACGCGGCCCGGGGCTCCGGGCGTGATGTGTGGCGGTGCTGCAGTTCTTCTCAGCGTCGGACCTCGGGGCTCTCCGGGAGGGGCATTCGGCGGCGCGCCCCGGGGGGGGGGGGGGGGCGAAGGAGTGGGCAGGCCTTCTCGGCAGTTCGGAGGCAGCGGGGCTCTGCTCAGAAGCCAGGTCGGGCCTTCGGAGAAGCCATCTGTCTTCCGGTCGGGCATGTCCTCCTGCAGGGGGATTCTGAACAAAGAATTCAGAATACTCAAACCATATTCCCAAATGTGGAAGTCGTCAAACAATCGTTCTCGGACTATTTTTCACTTTTTTGAGCAGTCCCCCTGTAGAAGGACACGCCCGACTTCAAATCTGTCTTCGGAGAGCAGCAACAAGCTGCACAAACACAAACGATCGGAGCGGAGCGTGGACTCCTTGGGGGCCCAATGCAGATCCAAGGAATACGCGTGACCCTCCGAAAAGGTGTGCTTATGCAATTGTTCTTTCTTCGAGGGAGCGCATCACTAGTTGGTACAGAGTCATCCTGTTGCAGACGGGAGGGCGCAGAGAGCAGCAGCAGCAGCAGCAGCAGCAGCAGCAGCAGCAGCAGCAGCAGCACGCCAAACGCGCAGGTTGTCTGCCTGAGAGATGCCTCACTGGAGGCCGCGCATGCAGCAGCGTGCACCTTTGCCAGGAGCCCTAGAGAACAGTCACCGACGCCCCCCCTGTAGGCCACGGGGCCCCTCGAGGCCCAGAGACTCCGGACGCGATCACCCAGCATCGATCGGGAAATCGGGTCGGACCGGCACGTACGCCGGACCAGGCTGCATCGGCGCGGAGTCGGGATCGAATTGGATCGGTCCCGCCAGGCTGCACGACAGCACCAGGCCTAGGTCGGGCATGTCCTCCTACAGGCGGATGTTCGACGAACAGTGAAAAGCTGCCAAACACGATTCGAAAATGGTCAGAAGGGGTCAAAAAAATCGTCCCCCGACTATTGCTCGACTATCTTGAAGCATTCCTCCTCTAGAGGGGCACGCCCGACGCAAGGAGAGATCGGATCGAGAGGGGCCCCTGCGGGGGTGCCCCCCCGGGGCCCGGACAGGGCCGAGAGAGCACGCCGCCGCCTCGGGCACCAAGGCCTGCGACCGTCCGAAGATCGACGGCCGCCGACGTCGATCGACGGTCCCCAGACTCATGTTGCTCCCATCGTACTAAAAGGCCACATCCCAGAAATAAGTTCAAGCACCCGTACAAGTGTCGAAACGGTGTCGAAACAGTGTCGCACTAGTGTCTCCCAGGGCCCGACACGTGAACACCCTCGAGTTTCGGAAATTTGCTGGTGCTCGAAATTCTTCCTGGTGGTCAAGGCTAAAGTAGATTGGAACATCATCACCCCAGACTTCCCAATCGCGACGTAAAAAAATCAGGACGGGATGTTTCTGGCTGTTTTCGGCCTCGGGGGGCCCTCGCCGGGCCTCGGGACCGTCAAAAAATGGCTCAGGACGAACACCCAGTCCCGGTGAAAGGGTCGGGACTTCCAGGGGCGCCGTCCTGAAAACATCACGACGTCGCATGTCTGGGTTCCGATGTCTTGATCTTTCTCAACGCGGGGTTCCTGGAGCTCTGGGCCGCTCACGGGGGACCTGTGTGTTGCCTCCCGAGCTGCTTCTGGACGGTCCCGCGGCCCGGCGAGGGCCCCCCGACGCCGACGGACTGCGGAACCACCTCCGTCTTGATGGTAAAGGGGCAGACAGCTGCACAAGCAGAAACTTTTGGAGCTCCGCGGGCATTGCTTAAGATCTGCGCTGAGCCCCCCTCCCTGGCGCGCGGGGCACGCCAGTGGCGGCGCCGGAGGCGCCGCCAGGGAAGCCCAGCGCCGATCGAAGGTATTCGCGCGGAGCTCCTCGAGACGAGGCTCTGCCGTCTCTTCTGCTCCGACTGACGTCTCCAATGCGCTGAAGGTCCGCGCCGAGGCTCGACCCTCGATCCGCGACGACGGCGCTCCCGGACATCCGCCCGCTCCAATCTGTTCGATGCCTGTGCCCAGGAGGGCTGCGGACCACCTCCCTATTAAGGCCAGCTCCCTGTCCTGAGTCCTCTTTTGCCGGTCCCGAGGCCCGGCGAGGGCCCCTAGAGGCCGAACATCGGCACAAACCGCCTGCTCCATTTTTTTGGAGCGTCGGATCTCCAGGAGGGCCCAGAATCGAATCGACAAGTCAGATCGGCGATCGACAGGAATCGGATCGGCGGACATCGGCAGCCCAGTCGGGAGGAGTCAAACCGGCGGACGTCGGCAAGCTGGCATGCCTCCAGCGAGACACCGGAACCCGACTCGGAGCCCCACGCCGAAGCGAATCGGATCCGGAAACCGTCGAAGTCGCATCGAGTCGAATCGGCGGACTCGACACGTTTGGTGTCTGTTCCATGGGAGCCTGCGTGGCCCCCAGCACTGTCCAATTTGGGCCTGATTTGGACCGCATTTGGAACAAATCTGGACCGGATCTGGAGCAGACTTGGACTGGATTCGTGGGGGCTAGGAGAACGAGGAGGGGAAGGGGGAACAGGAGGGGAGAGGAGGAGCAGGAGGACGGGCCAAATGTCGTCCCCACGCTGCCCACATGCAGGAAGAGCTGATTCCAATGTCGCCGCCCAAGGCTCCCATGAACAGACATCGAAGAAACGAGCCCCGGATCTCTGGGCTGGCGTCGGCGGCGGAGCACGGGCGGGGCGGGACGGGGACGGCAGGAGGCGCCTCCGCCACGTGCGCGAGGGCCCAGCATCCGGAATCCGAATCGGAGTCCCATGCCGAATCGAAGCGGAGCCGGAAACCGTCGGCGTCGAATCGAGACGAATCGGCGGACTCGAAACGAGCCCTGGATCTCTTAACGGCTCGCGTGGGCGGCGGAGCACGGGCGGGAGGCGGGGCGGGGACGGCGGGAGGCGCCTCCGCCACGTGCGCGAGGGCGGCGCCGCTCTGCCTCGGCGCGGCGCGGCGCGCGTGCGCGGCGCCCTGCCGCGGCGACGTGCGCGACGGTCGCCTTCTCTCGCAGGCGTGGGGTGCTGCGGGTTAGGGTCAGGTCGGGCATGGCCTCCTGCAGGCGGCTCTGGAGGGAATATATAGAACACTGCATCAAAACATATGCAATAATCCAAAAACAGAGATTGAATCTTCAAATCCTGAAACATATTCAAACATTTCAAATTTCAAAACAAAAAAAACACGTCAGTAAAAATAGTCAACATCTATATACACATATATAAATATTTGAGTGTCGATGTCGCAGAACCCTAGGGGAATCGAAGGTGGCCCAGCAGCGGTCCCGGCCAGCAGGAAGTGCGGGCAGGTCCGAGGTTCTGGGTGCGGGGACGTGTTTGTGCCTCGTTCGGCCCCCAGGGGCCGCTTCGGGCCCCAGGACCGTCAAGAAAAACCGATCCAGGGCGAGAACTACACCAGATTATGGCGTTCACTAATGGGGGGGGCAATCGATGGGGGGGGTAAGATAGGTGCACCTTTCGTACCCCTTCGGGGCCCTAGGGGGCTCGTTTAGGGCCCCTTTCGTGCAACCCTCGACGCCCCCCCAATGCATCGCCCCCCCATGACCGAACGCTCAATAGATGGACCCCGGGAGGGGTCCGTGGACCGATTCTGCGCGGATTTGGCTTCATCTCCCCCTCCTGCCTGGCGGCCCGAGGCGACAGCCAGTGCAGGACCCCCCCCCCCCTGCCAGCGGCACCGCGAAGGTTCGGTCGGGCATGTCCTCCTACAGGCGGATTCGGGGAGGACGACCAAACACAATGCACACAAAACAACAATGTCTTTCAAAAAAGGGGAGCAACCATGAGTCGAACAAGACATCCCCCGACTAGTCTTTGGTTTGCTCATGTTTGAGCTCTCCTCCTGCAGATGGGCATGCCCGACTGAAGGCTACGAGGGGGGGGAGGGCTGGAGAGGGGGAGAACCCGTGGCCAGGGCCACGAGAGCTCTCCCCGGAGGCGGTGGCCCCCCGCTGCTCACTTCGACACGACGTCCCCTGCCCCCCCCACTCGGGCCCCGACCCCGACGACACGATCCTCGTTCGGCGGGCGAGCGAGGGGGGGGGAGGCGATAATTACCAGCCTGGAACATATCCCTATCCCTATGCTGGGCATGTCCTCATCACGATGCCAATCTTAGGGATCCCCTCAGTTTTTTAAGGCGAATCCCTAAGATTGCCATCGCCTTTTGGCGTGCCAATCTTAGGGATAGGGATACGTTCGAGGCTGGCAAGAGAAGGAAGCGGCCTTCTCGGAAGGCTCGGAAGTCCCCTGGCCTCCTGAGAGGCTGTCTGAGCCGTGTCCCCCGAGGGCACAGGCAACGCTTCTCCGGAGGCGCGGGGGGCTCCTGGGACTCGCCCTCCGAGAAAAACTCCTCCTCCTCCTCGCTTCCCCTCGCTCGCCGCCGCTTCGTGTCGTCGACCCCCAGGAAGCCTCGACCCCTTCCGCGGGACCCGCTCTCTTCCTCCCGAGGCGCTCTCTTGGCCGGCCCCGGGGCACGGCGAAGGCCAAGAGAGGCTGGAAAACGTCGGAGGACCTCCCGCCCGGATGTTTTCGTGACTTGAGCAGGGACCGACCGTCCCGGCATTTCTATAGCCCTACCACGACATGTCCCTAGAACCAAAAGCTGCTCTAAGAACAGAAGCAATGTTCTTAGAACTTGAGCATTAGGTGTTAAAACAAGACAGCCACGGTCCTCTGAAGGTCTTCGGCGGTTTCCGGCAGTCCTCGGCGCGAAAGCTGGATGGTCGGGCTTGTTGACAAATGGGTACATGATCGAACACGTCGAGTAAGGGTCATAAAGACACGTCATGTGGCCACTTGACCAGATTCAGGCGGACTGAGCCCTGAATGAAACTGGACTGACCTGGACTAATCAGGACTACGGGGGCGTAAGCAGGATTATGCCACATTCGGCAAGTTTGGCCCACTCGAAGTCCCAAGAGGCCACGTTAGCCTGTACCCGGGGGGATGCGCTCAGGGCAGGGGGTCGATGCTACAAATCTTTCGGGCGTCTTCGTCGGTTCCCGGCGGTTTCCTAGGCTCGGCGTCTTCTCTCCAGCAGCTGCGCCGCGCCGAGAGGCGCTCTGGGGCGCTCGGAACGCCCCGAGAACGGCCGCGAAGAGCTGAGCGATAGAACCCGAAAGATGGTGGGGCAACCTTGGGGGGGAGGTAGGCTCAGGAGAGGGGGGGCATCGACATGGAGTCGGCGGCACACCTCCGGTAGATCTGCGAGTTTTGAGCAGGGACCGACCGTCCCGGCGCTCTTCTAGGCCTACCACGACATGTTCTTGGAACCCAAACATGTTCTGAGAACCAAAGCAACGTTCTTAGAACAATAGCTGGGTGCGTTAAAACAAAACAGTCCCAGCCAGAAGTGTTCTAAGAACATATCGTGGAAACCACACAAGGTTCTTTGAACATTATTTGGTGAGTCTATAGGCGAGCCAGGACGCTTCGCCACTGCTTGAAGTCGAAGCGAGAAGTACTCCGCGGGCTGGTGGCCACGAACACAAGCATCGAGCATGTCGCGTGCGTGAGGGTGGGGTGAAATTGCATGCACATAAGGCGCCCTAATAAACCGCACCCCCCTGAACGTCGGCTTCAAGAAAACGCGTTGATAAACCGGACCCCCTGCCTCCCCAAAAAACGCCCAAAAAAACCGGACCCAGGGGACGATTATTAAACGATCCGGAGTGGGGATGAGGGGGAGCGACAGCAGGGGGGGCCGGCGCAGAGGGGGAAAAGCCTCGACCTGGAGCCGGCGACCGTCGTCCTCGTCGACGCTCCCCGCCGCCGCCGCCCGCCGCCGCAGGCGCCAGCGCCGGCCCAGAAAAGGAAATCGTCGTCCCCGCCGCCGCCGCCAGCTGCCAGCCGACGCAGGCGCCGGCCCGAGGAGAGGGAGAGAAGTAGGAGAGGGGGGGGGGGTTCGAACCCCCCCCCCTGCGTCACGGGAGATGGGGGAGAGTTCGAATCCCCCCCCCCCCTCCATCCAGGGGGGGAGGTCCGGTTCCAACCACCCCCTTCTCCAAGCGACCACAGAACGCGCTCTTTCCGAAAAAGCTCCCGGGGCCCGCGCAGTCGAGGTCTCCACGACGTCGGAGACCAAAGGGGAGCCGAGAGGGCGATCCAGAAGCGGCGGGCCGCAGAACTGTGGGCCAGGCTCCCCCGACTTGTACCTTCCGTGGTAGGCTTATTTTCCACCGCCACCACCGTAAGTAGGAGGGGGAGGGGGTCCTCCTCCTCCTCTTCTTCCTCCTCCTCCTCCTCCTCCACCTCCCCACCCCCTCCAACTTATGGTAGTGGTGGTGGAAACAAGGCCCCTCATTCCGCACTTTCTGCGCGGAAGGTGCCGCGACAATGCGGCCGCTGCGGCTGCCGCTGCGGCCAAGACGGGGGCCGCCGCTGCGGCCGCGGCGGCGGCCGGGGCAGCGCGGCGCATGCCGCGCGGAAGGTGCGGGAGGTACAGGTCGAGGGTTTCCGCCCAGCTCATGCGCAAAGCGCGGGGCCAAGACGGAGATGGGGAATTTCTCTCGCTGGACGGCGCAGCTGCAGCTAGATCCGAGATCAGGGCGCACCACCCGGCCATGCGGGCCCAGGCATGCGTGAGACTCGGGACAGG